GGCAGACAAAATGACAACACGCAGGAGTATATCAGCATCCCACACGAGTCAGACATGGCAGGCGTCGCGACGTCGTGCACACACACACACACATTCACACATGGTATTACACACGGCATGGTATGATCCATTGATAGAACTGTTTCCCGATAAGAAGTTGGCGGCATGACGGAATGATAAGACAAGGTGTCAACGAACGCCATGGCAAGCTATTAGGTAACGACAGACAGCATGACAAGACGAAGTGAGTGCAAGCGACTGATCAGGCATAGCGGTCGTGACGATGTCACGCTGGTCCGAGCACAACTAAGCGCGACACAACCACTCAGAAACGACATCATGAGCGCTACGACGTCACGGCCAGCCCGATAACAATACAGCACAGCCTAATTGTTGAGACAAGGCAGACGAGATGGCAGACAACAAACGACAAGAAACAGGAACAAACGGATAGGACAAGCGAATGCTACAACTGAGCAGACATGGTTGGCGTCACAATATCACGCCGATCTGGGGAACAACTGTAATCCACAACGCATATGCGCAACATTGGCCAGTCTTAAATGACATACTCCACCGTAGACACATATGAAACATTGTATACAACATGCTACGATGTAGAAACATGCAACTCGTCTCGCCACAGCGACCCTACATGCGTTACGCACTTACGTACATTGCATAAAACCAGGCGCATCGAGCGCATACATGATGACACATACGTGCAAGACATAACACACCATTTATACACCACGGACACATCGACACTGAATTGACAATGATCTGGCAACCGACACCCTTGACAACACACTCCACAAACAACTCTTCAGTGCAAGAAGAGCGCTGAATTCAGAGTGCTGTAATAACTTGGAGCGTATTGAAATGTTACCTTCAAAGAAACCATACGGGATGCCATGAGAAGAACCGTACGGCAAGCATGCATGATACCATAACTGAGACAATGCGGGAGACCATGTTGGAGACCATGCGTGAGAACATGCGGGGACTCGTACGGGATATATCGGGATGACATGCCGGAAGGCATGCGGGATACCCCCCATACGGGAGAACATGCGGAACACCAGATGGGAGAACACACGGAAGGCCATACGGGAGACGCCACGGGATGCCATACGGGGGACCATGAGAGAGACCATGCGGGAGAACATGCAACATACCAGGCGCGAAACCACACGGGACCATACGGGAGAACACGCGGGAGACCCGCCGACGATTCTCGATCCTATATCGGGCTCTTTCAGACAAGCTACTTAGTGCACCACGCTGTCGATACACAAAGTGCAGACTTCGAACACATTCGCAGCACATTCCTTGCGGGGATCACACGAAGCAACCCAATCCCACAGTCAACGTTCAAAACTAATGAATGAAATCTGCCACAACTCTCCGCATCGGTAAGCGTGAATCGGGAATCCGTCTCTGTCCCTCACGCTGTTCCTTGTGAAACGCCAGCTTGTCCCACAAGCATCTGCCAAAACAAGGTCAAGTTGATGCCCTTTCCTCAACCCTCTGTGATTTCAACTGAAAACCGCCAATCTCGAACTGCGTCGGTGAGCGGGTCCCGTGCCCCTTCCCCCCAAAGCTCCTCGCATGGGCATCCAGACACGCTCCGAACCGCTCCAAGGCAGGCCCACACCAGCCCGAGGGGTGGGGTGGGGGGCTCCTCCTCCCTCCTTCCCGTCCATCTACCTCCTCCCTCTCCTCGCCATGCCCGTGAGGAGGGCTCCTCCCTTCTCCTCCCTCCTCCCTCCTCTCTCCTCCTCCTCCTCCTCCCTCTCCTCCCCCTCCTCCTCCTCCTCCTCCTCCTCCTCCTCCTCCTTGTCCTCCTACTCCTCCTTATGAGTACACTCCTGGAGATCTCCCGCGGCAGCTTGAGACACAATTCCCCAATCAGTGCTTGCACTGAAGGGGCCCTAGCAGAGTTTGTTTGGCGAAAACTCATGGCCGATTTCGGTGGGCGGCGGGGTTACCGGGTTCCGGCTTGCTGGTTCCGGGCCGATATCGGTGGGCGGCAAGGTTCCCAAGGTTCCAACTTTTGGTTCTCGGGTTCCCGGGTTCCCGGTTGATCTCACTATCGATGTCATTATCGATCTCATCATCCATCTGATTCAATCGATCTCACTATCGATTTCACTACCGACCTCACTCTCGATCTCACTATCAATAACACTATCGATCCCATTGCCGATCACACTATTGATATCAATATTGATCTCACCATCGGTCTCACGATCGATCTCACGAACTCAATATCGATGTCACTCAATCGATCCCACTATCGATATCACTATTGATCTCCCTGTCGATCTCACTGTCAAATCCACTATCGATCCCACTATCGATCTCACAGTCGAACACACGATCGATCTCACGATCACTTTCACGATCGATCCCACTCAATCGATCTCACTATCGATCCTGCTATCGATATCACTATCCGTCGCACCCACTACCAATCTCACTATCAGAGCGGAGGAATATCCACTAAGTGTTCCCCCCTACCGTAGCGTGTCGCGCCGAGGCAGAACTGGCGGAACGCCACGCTATCCACAAGCTCTGGGCAATATTGCGCGCCGTGCGGGGCCTCTCGGATTTCCCTGCTCGTCCTCCGTCTGCCCCTCCTCCCGATACGTGACGACAGTGCAAATCAAGACGCAATTATGTGGTATGCTCTTCCTGGCCCCGAGAGGGTTGGGACCTCTCCCCTGGGCTTATACGGCCGCTCTCACCGCTGAGCCGATATGCTGCACGCTGAACAACAGACAAGCTTTTGCTGGTTCGCTGATCCTCCGCCTACCCCAGCCTACTCGTCCTCCCTGCCCCTCCTCCCTCGCCCCCTCCCTTCCCCAGAGGGGAAGGAGGAGGAGGAGGAGGAGGCGGAGGAGGCGGAGGAGGCGGAGGAGGAGGAGGAGGAGGAGGAGGAGGAGGAGGAGGAGGAGGAGGAGGCGGAGGAGGCGGAGGAGGAGGAGGAGGAGGAGGAGGAGGAGGAAAGGCAGAGGAGGCGGAGGAGGAGGGAGCAGGGGGCGCGGCCTGGCACGCCCCTGGCGGCGGGCTGGGCAGCCGGGCGCGCCAGGAGAACCTCCAGGGCGACGACTCCTGCAGGGAGGCGGGAGGCCAGGAGTCCAGGAGGAGGGGCAAGAGGTGCAGGGAGGAGGGGAGGAGGGGAGGGGGGAGGGAGGGAGAGGAGGGGAGGGAGGGAGGGAGGAGGAGGAGAGGATGAGGGGAGGAGGGGGAGAAGGAGGAAGGGAGGGAGGGAGGGAGGGAAGGAGGGAGGGAGGAGGGAGGGAGGAGGGAGGGAGGGAGGGAGGGAGGAAGAGGAACAGGGACACGAACAGGACCAGCGCCAATGTCATACAGCTGAAACCAGGAGCGACTGGCTTTCGATTCTTTGGGCCTGAGGCCCGCGTGGGAACGTTCCAGAAACTCGGCAGCCGCATCTGCAGGAGGACCAGGTGGCGGAGGAGGATGATGAGAAGGAGGAGGAGGAGGAGGAGGAGGAGGAGGCGGATGAGGATGAGCGAGGACGGAGGGAAGAGGGATCATGAAGAAGAACACTGAGATTCGAGGAGTTGGGGGGAGGAGGAAGACACACAGAAAAAGGTGGTGCGGGAGGAGTAAGAAAATGAAGACGCTGCTGAGGATACACATGATGATGGTGATGTTGATGCTGATGATGATGCTGATGATGCTGATGATGATGCTGATGATGATGGCGGAGGTGATGGTGCTGCTGATGATGATGATGATGCTGATGCTGCTGACGATGATGCTGCTCATGATGATGATGATGATGATGAGGAGGATGAGGATGGGGATGATGCTGCCGCTGATGATGATGATGATGATGATGAAGAAGATGATGAAGATGCTGAGGATGATGATGATGCTGATGATGATGATGCTGATGCTGACGATGACGATGCTGATACTGATGATAATGATGATGATGCTGATTATGATGATGCTGATGATGATGATGATGCTGATGCTGATGCTGATGCTGATGATGATGATGATGATGATGATGATGATGATGATGATGATGATGATGATGATGATGATGATGGGGGAGGGCTGCATGGATGGAGGAGGACGAGTAGGTGAAGGAGGCGGGATAAGGAGTACGCGAAGGGAAACGGAGCAGGAAGAGAAGGACGAGGCAGGAGAGATGGGATATCCAGGAGGAGCAGCGACGCGAACGCCAGAGCCGTGCGCGCTCCCTTGGGGAGCCCACCCGTGCCCATCAGGGCACGGCGTGGGGGCCGTGTCCTCAAACTCATGATATTTAAGCATATTCGCGTGGTAGCCACCATTCGTTGATCCTGGCGGCTGGTGTGTTCGAGCTGTTGTGTTCGTGTTGTCTTATCTAGGTCGCTGCTCGTATTTGCTCCTGCCCGCCGTCGGCGTCGCACCACTGCCCGTTCAAGCAGTGAAAACAACATTCGGACGATGAGCAAGAGGATGAAGATAATCTCTCCCTTCCGTCGACTCTCCTGACTCAATGCCCTGCTCTTGCCCCCCTCCCTTCCTTTGCTTTCCTTCCCGTTCGTCGCTGACTGGCGCCCATAACCAACATCCGCCGACCTTGCCAGCGTGTGGAAGACGCTGTTCTGTCTGACGCGTCGTCGTCGTCGGCGTCGTTGAAATCGTCGTTGACGTCGTCGTCGTAGTCGTCGTCGTCGTTCTGTTTGACTCGTCGTCGTCGTCGCTCCAGCGCGCCAACCACTGCGAAACCGAAACGAAAAGCGCCAGCCAAAGCGAAACCAAACCGCATTCGAGCAACGTCGTAGTTGATTCGAAGGGAAGCCCATTCGCTTTGATCTCCTCCCCCCCCCGGGGGGTGTGGGGGTGGGGGTCCTGGGGAATGGCGGAGGCGGGGGGTCCCGGGTCAAAATGCCATCCCCCCGGGCGGCCTCCCGGCCGAAGAACGCCCTAGTATAGGCCAGGAGTGCCCCAAGAGGCTCCCAAGGTGACCCCGAATCGCCGAGCTATTCGTCCTAGACGCCACGGACGGCCTCCAGGCGGCCGAACAGGACTCCAGGACGCCCAAATAGCCTCCAAGCGACACTCTCGAGATAACCCCAAGAGGCAAAACAACGCCAGCTTTCCTGGGATACGGATTCGGGCCATCTCGCCTTTACGGCCTCCCGACATTCCTCCTCCGCTTCCTTCGCATCCATGATTATTCCTTATAAGCAACTCCTCCTTGTCGCACCCTGAAGGCGGTCGAAGGGCGGGCCGGGCGTTTCGCCTGAGACTCCCCCACCATGTATTACCCCGAAGCTTCAAAACAATTTCGCAGATGGAGGTCGGGCCGCTTTCGAAATGTGGCTCTCGCCTCAGCTCCGCGCACATTCGCTTCCGACATCTGCAAGAGCTTTCGGGATTCGGGGCGGGCCGTTTTCGAAAGGTGGCTCTCGCCTTGGCGCCGCGCACGCTCGTTTTCAAGACATGCGGGAGCTGCACGGGTGGAGGGCGGTGCCTTTTCGAGATTTGGCTCTCGCCTTAAGGCCGCGCGCATTCGGTGGAAGCGCGTGCCAGGAGTTCACGGGCTCTCATGGTTAACGTACCAGAGACTGCGCTTTGGAGCAATGCAGGACTGTCAGGGCGTAGCAGTTGCGCTGATTCGCGGTGTTGAAGTCCGGGGAATGGCCCCCTGGTGCGATTCCAGATCGTCAAGGCGCAACGAGAAGGTTGATCCGGTGCTCTGGCACGGTTCAGGATTTACAAACGGTTGTCTCCCAGCGAGACACTTCGCCTAATGGACATGAACCCTTCTAGATGGTGTATTGCAACATCGTCAATAAGTCTTGGATTTACACTAGTCCTCCTTCTCTTCCTCCGCCGCCTCCTCCTCCTTCGTCCTCTTCTGCCCACTCCTCCTCCTCCTCCTCCTGCTCCTCCTCCTCCTTCTCCTCCTCCTCCTTCTCCTCCTTTTCCTCCTCCTCCTCCTCCTCCTCCTCTTGATCCTCCTCCTCCTCCATGGCTTTTCCTTATACATAACTTCTCCCTGTCGCACCCCGAGGCCAATTTTTAGAGCGGGCTGGGCGTTTCGCCTGAGACTTCCTCACCATCTATGACCCTGAAGCTCAAAACGTGGCAACCGTTTCACAGATGGAGGGCGGGTCGTTTTCAGAATGTGGCTCTCGCCTCAGCGCCGCGCGCACTCGCAGTAAACATTTGCAAAGGTTTCACAGATTGAGGGCGGGCCATTTTCAAAATGTGGCTCTCGCCTGAGCGCCGCGCGCGTTTGTCTCGTACGTTCGCAAGAATTTCACGGACTGGGGGCGGGTGGTGCAAGAACTTCACGGGTTGAGGGCGGGTGTGTCTCAGAATGTGGCTTTCGCTCTAGCGCCACGCACATTCGTGTTTCTTTCCACGCAAGAGTTTCACGGGTTGAGGGCGGCTCCTTCTCACTCTGTGGCTCTCGCCTTCGCGACGCGCGCGCTGATTTTCAACTTTGCAAGGGTTTCACGTCTTCCCATCGTCAGCGTAGCAGAAACTGTGTTGTGGACATATTAAGGGCTATAGAGGTGCAGCACGTACGTTGGCTCGCGGTGCTGAAGTCCTAGGTATGGCATCCTGGCACGAGTCAGGATCATCAACACGCAGCAGTCAAGTTTATCCGTGGCGTTGGAACCCAGAGAAAAATTGGCATGCGTCAGGGTCTTCAAACGGTTGTCTTCCAACGAGGCAAGTCCCTCAGGAGCAATGATCCTTTGTAGGGGCCTCTGAAGAGGGAGCTTGAGAGGAGAAATTATTTCAACATCGCTGATGCCCCTTGGGTTTACTCTGATCCTCCCTCATCATCCTCCCCCGCCCCTCCCACCACTCCTCCTCCTCCTCCTCCACCTCCTCCTCCTGCTTCTACTCCTCCTCCTTCTCCTCCCCCGTGTCCGCTTCATGCAGGGGGTACTCGGAGAGAGTGACTCTCTAAGATCGAGAAGGAAATCTGCCCCCAAGGCTTCCAACGATCCAAACCAGAGGGGCCACCGATCCGTTTAAGCTTATGTGTAGCCGACATGGTCGCAACATCCGAAACTCAGTAACTACTCGTCCTCGCCCTCGTCACCGCCCTCCCCCACATTTTGTTTGAGGTTGCCCGGACACTGATATGCTCCTCCTCCTCCTCCTCCTCCTCCTCCTCCTCCACATCCTCCTCCCCCATTGTTTCCTCCCCCGCCTCCTTCGCCTCCTCCTCCTGATCCGCCTCCTCCTCCTCTGCTTCCTCCTCCTCCTCTTCCTCCTTCTCCTCCTCCTCTTGCTCCTCATCCTCCTCCGCGCCCCGTCCGCCAGCCACCTTCTCCTCCGCCTCCTGCGCCTCCTCCTCCTCGTCGTCGTCCTCCTCCTCCTCCTCGTCCTCCTCCTCCACATCCTCGATCCCTCTCTTCATCGTCCGCCGCCTCCTCATCCTCCTCCTGCTCCTCCTCTTCCTCCTCCTGCTGCCCCTCCTCCTCCTATTCTTCCTCCTCCTCCTTC